AATTTAGGCTCCGTAGTGCGTGGTTTACACGCTCTGCATAGACGTAGAACGGATAGAGAAGGGTGATGTAGAATAGGAGGATGGCAGCTATAAATCAGTTTACAAGGCTTCGTTCGATCGTTCGCGTAATAGACGTGGATATATTATAAGAGGGGTGAAAAGTGGCCGGTGGTGGTGGTGGTGGTGGTGTTCTACCTTCCCCTGGAGCCGGGAGCGAGCGTGCCAGCCTCTGCAAAAGGGGCAGACACTCGGGAGGACTAATCGATAACGAGCCTTGACCTTCGTAGGGTTTGTCCGATGCATCGCTCAAGGCACATCTCTCTCTCTCTCTCTTCTCTCTCTCTCTTCCCCTCTCTCTCGTGGATTAATATCTGGAATAATAGGGGGATGTTGTTCCGATGCTGCATCGAAATTATTTCGATACGCTTCCTGGATTATAGTTAATTCCCAGAGAAGAGAGGCCGAGGGAGAGGGCAGAGGACGGATCTGATTTAATATCGCTTTGCTCGGAGAACGATTTTCGCAAGGAACGATTTTCAAGGGTCTCCCTTTGAATTCCCTGTTTGCCTTATTTCCGCTTCGTTTATCGTCATTCTCATTTCCTTTGTTATATTCTAGCTTCCCGTTATTCCAACCCGTGATTGCGTTTATCTATTTCTCTCTCTTTCTCTGTCCTTCCCTTTGTCTCATTTGTCCCATCGCTCGCGCTCGTTGAATTTAGAATGAATTTTTTTTTTGTACACGCGTATGGTGGATCGAAAGATCTACTTGTAGTAACGATACTCTCTTCTACTCTCTCTTTTTTTCTTTTATCATCCCCTTCGTTTTTATTTCTCTTCTTATTGTTTGATCCGAGATTATACAATGTGAAACGAATCGCAAATCATGTTATCTCCTTATCTCTTCGTAAACGCGCGTAATTTTTCCTTTTTCTGATCTAACTTTTATTTCTACGAGATATACGTTATAATTCGTTTCATCCACGCGGTTATTTCGCGCACAACGCTCAAAATATACGATTTAGATCATCACCAAGCTGATATTAACCTTATTATCTGGCTTTGGCTAATGATACGTAACTGCTTAATTAGAATCCCTTCTAATACCAAAATTCGCTTAATCGTACGCGAATTTACGTATGATGTAGATTTTAGAGGGAATCCAATATATATGTTTTGCGTCAACAACAACGATCGATTATTTTCCAGAAGCCGAATCCTTGGAAAATTCGTTTCCTCGGTTAGTTTTCTGCGCAACAGGCACAATTTCTCCTTTACACGAATTTCTTTTTTCCTCGCCATCTTCGTATTCCTCGACCAAATCGTAATTACGGTCAAAACCGTGATTGATCGATCCAAATTTTTCATTCTTTTTGTACGAGATCATTAATCAAAAGCGGTTAGTTAATTTTCACGATATATGTATATGTGTATATATATATATACAATGGAATAAAATTTTGAACGTATCGTGAATATATTATGAATATGTATTTAATATTTATTATTAGGAAAATAGAGAGAGAGATTGGTATTGTTATAATCCGTCGTTATTTGCAATATTCAAACATGGAAGATATCAAGCTCGAATAATTCGATTCATTTGAGTATTAAAAATTCAGCGTTTAGAATATTCTAAATTTGAATCTGAATATTCCTCGTTTTAAATTCAAAATTAACTCCCCCAAAATAATATATCAAATCCCCTTGATTGAACCTATCTAATTTAAATTCAAATATATATATAATTTAAATTTTACTTGAATAGGACAAGCATAAATATAAATTGGAAATTTCAATGTTTCAAATATTAACGTTCCAAGATTTCGAAACTTCGTATCTCCAAATTTAAATTTCGATCGGAATTATTTTTTCCAAAATAATAACACATATCGAATTCTAATTAACCGATGCTGTAATCTCGGCTACGAACACATTGATGGGGCAACATTGTACGCAAATCATCGCCTCCTGTCGAATCAAACGTACTGTTTGCCCCTTTAAGCGCGAATTAATTATTCGTTAACGATCCCTCGTAATTAAACCGTTTATTCGTACGCGAGAATCGTGGAGAAGATTGTCGTGGAATTGGTCCCAAAATTATTTCGAACGGACGAACGTTACGTCGAATCATCCCCTTTTCGAGTAACGGCTTTAAAAGATTCATGGAAACACGCCTACAGACCGTGTGCCAGAATATCGCGCGATTCTTTTCTTTTCTCATCCAATGAACAGACAGTGTTTCATAATTCAAATTCAAAGAAATGTGTACTGAATGTGTTCTAATTTTAGAGAGATCGGGTCGATAAGAATGGAAGAAAAAAAAAAAAAAAGGCATGCACAAATCTCGTCCATAAATCGTTTTAAATCGAAC